ATATCATCATAAACATGTGTAGTTTTGCTTTAAATGAATAAAATAATCAAACTACCTGATAAGTAAACATCATATGAGGTCCAGCTGCATCTCCATTGCCTTCTGCTGCCTGCTCTTGTTTCTACAGAAAACACACCAATTTTATATTACATTTTAGATTGTATTTCAATTTTATTTCTGCAAATTTTGAGCAATGCAATGCAAAAAATGTTAAATCATGTACATGTACCTCATCAAATATAGTCTCAATCTCATTGACAACACTCTTGGATCTCATGGCCTTGAGATCATTTTGCTTGAATGTGATTCCCTGATGGTCCAGGGATTTAAGGTAGTACTTCTCATTTTGTTCTCTCCAGATCTTGTTGAAATGCCGTTGAGACTCTCGCCACTCGTCTTCCTTGGCTTTTAACCTGACAAAAGAAGCTGATTGTTACTTTCAAGGGTCCTTGTAGAAAACATGGAAGATCAACATCTTATGAAAACTATAAAGCTGTTAAACTCATATGTATTTTAGAAACTTCTCTTCACTGGATAATATATAGAGGATATAATTACATGTACATATGGAAGCAAATTATGTCGTAAAACCTTTTTTCTTGTTTTTACTATAATATAGATAATATAGATAATATAGATTTTATAGATACCTCAAATGTGTTATTTTTAGTAGTGAAAATATCAATTTTACGAAATAGATCGAAATAAAGGTATTTCATAGATAATTACAATAATTTTATTTATGTCATACATATTATATTTTTTTTTCTTGGTTTGAAAATAAGCCTCTGGCTACTAAACTCATAAATAAACGATTAAAATCATTACAACTACTATAAAGTCGTTGTGAATCAGAACATTCGCAGATGTCATCAATAAAGTGGGGTGGTATATAACAGTGGGAAAACTGTTACCACCTGACACCTTATGTGGCAAAATAGATCATCACTTCAACAACACGGGTTAAACATAAACAGACTCTACAACATGAACACAACATATTTACCTTTTAAGGACAAGAGGTACTGCTACAGCTGGTGTTTTCTTCATTCCGTCAATGATATCAGGCGCTTTGTCTCCATAAATCCTACATGTACAAGTAAAAGGCTTTAGTTATAATGAATATTTTCACCCTGACCTGCTCCCAGTCTGACCTCGTGTCTCAGCTGGTAGAGAATCGGTGTACAAATCTGAGGGTTGTGGATTCGAATTCCAGTGAGGTTGGAAATTAATTTTTCTGAATTTATTTCTAAGGGTCTTTTGCCCATAATAACTACCTTCTAAATAAATTTCCTTTCTTTCTCTATTTAGTAATAATCCACAGTCCATTCAATAACAATATGGGTTGCTTACCTTTGTATTGCTTTTTTATGGACCACCTCTGATGTACCACCAAGACAACTGTCCATTCTAAATTTATGTTGCTCCTCTGGTGTCATTCTAGAGGGTGATTACACAGTTAGTCATTTGACCACAATAGACCCATTGCATGTGAGCTAGKAGCAGCTCTACATATTGATGACAAAACAATAGMTTTTTTGCYCTCTTGGGAACTAGAATCCATTATTTTGTCCTCCCTGCATTCTCATGAACTGCAAGAGGTCTATAATTATGTTCTTAATTCTAAATACAATGTACAAGAAGAAAGTAACACAATTTGAAAGCAGTAATTGAAGTGTATAGTGAAGACACTAGTGCAAACAAGATTGAGAAAAGTTGTAAGACAAGTTTCAGTGAGGGTCAAAAAGATAATGATGATAATATATGGCCATGTAACAAATGTCTTACCTTAATAACTTTTTCTGTACAGCTTCTAGGGCTCTTATAGTAGATGCATTTGATTCTAGCACAACATCAAGCTACAGAATGTTAAATGTGGTTAAGTACATGTTGTACACAAAAACAAACAAATAAATACAAATAAAGTACCTCAAATCTCTCATCTTCACATCTGAAAAACAACACAAAAAAACTAAAATGGCTGCACAAATACAATGGATTATGGACTGTACCATATGAGGTGTGTTGCACAGTGTAATAATTGATCACCAATAATATAATATTTATCTCACATTGTTCCTGTAAAGTGGTGATATTAACCAGTCAATCACTTACCTATAAATATATTCCTCATATTGAGTTTTTCTAGTTCCTGGAAAAGGTGTGTCCTCTGACCAGGAAGGGAATGACACCCACGTATCATTGAGTACCTCACGGCACAAGTCTGTTCTTCCTGTGCATTTGGGTTGAGTATAACTCTTGGGTAATGCTCTGTAACTGGTCCCGTAGCGTTTACATGATGAATAGTCGATCTCTAAGTGTGCAAGCTCTCCGGATGTTCTTTCTTTGTATCCTGTCATGGACTCCATTGGYGATGAGTCTTTGTAGCCAAGAAATTCCTTAAACCATGTGAAAAGTTCAGGGAAYTTGCTGTAAGGAAAAGGAAGATCATCAGC